CTAACTCAAGATGCAGACATAGACCCTAGCCTGATGATAAGTGTAAGGACCTAACCTTTTGCAATTTTTCAGCGAAATACAACATTAACTTCATCGACAACCCTACCACAGAATGTGATATAGGAAAACGTCTGGCCTTCCTTGGAAATGACATCTGTCCTGCGACTCAGGGGCACCCGTGGCAATCTGGCGTAGTAGTTTACGTGTAGAAATTACACGCTACATTGTCATAGTTCGAGTTCCGCTTGGGGGATTGATAAGACCTAGACGAGATCGGAACTGCAGTCCACCCCAGCCTGGAGAAGAGTGCCTTCTGGGAAAGAAAGATCATTTGAAAATCCCCGGAAATGTAAGGTATACTCATATCATTGTGGGAAAAATACAGTTACCAGTCCCTTTATTATCTTAAACGAAATATGGTCACAGGGTAAAATTGAGTCTCAGATGTATGTAAGATGTATAGTATGATTGTTGACAAGGCAAATTGCATTTCACTATCACAATCGATTGAGCTACTGATATCCAACTTAAGCAGACTTTCGAGACCATCAGTAACTTTTCAATAAGAGTTCTATTCACTCCAGGTCGCATAAAGTTATGATGCGTAGGCCCGGTATTTAGAGTAAATTTCGCAGCCTTGCTTCCAAAAATGTATTCCCATCCAGGTTGGCTGCAGTTTCACTAGAAACGTGGGGCCACTTATATGATTGTGGCAAAATGCATCACCTTATGCGACTTAGGGTGACTAGATCACTTATTCAAGATTAAGTTATAGCCTTGAGAACCCACTTTGTCTGAATATTTCATTCTTTGTCGGCAATACCAGCGCTGTGTGATAGTGTAGGACAAGGGAAAAGTAAAGATTTCCTACGGAAAGCACAATGCCCAGGCAAGTGTTGAGAGGGAGTAAGATGAATCCATTATTCCTGTCCCCCACTTACCATAACCTCTGTAGAATAGATCATTCCTCAGCTGTATCTTTTCACGCCGCTTTTCTGGCTCCAGATCCCTCTCGGCAGTCAGTTGCGCAACAGTGTAACTCATTTGAGAGAGCAAGAGGCTGGCCAGCAGAAGGTGGACTAGACACAAACCATACGAGCTATCCGAAGTTCGAGTCCCGCGGTTCGACCCATGACGTCCGGGAATGCCGGTCTGGCTCACTTTGTTCGTGGCACTTTTAGGCTCATTCGGCGTGACTACCGTTTTGAGACTGGTCGAAGCCAGAATGGAGGAGACATGCGAAGTCTGGCCGGAACACTCTCGAAAGTGATGGCCACAGGCCTGAGGCAACGCGGCATTGGTACCACCGAGTGTGGCGT